TTCTAGGATCTTGTAATCTGAGCTGCACACGATCATTCCTCCTTAAGATTTCATATCAGAAATGAACTGAAGTTATGAAACTAAAAGTTAGTATATTTCGCAACAGAATTGGAGCACCCTGCAAATATTTGGAGATAATATATGTAACCACACAGCGTAGATGCCATAAGGAAGTGCTGACAGACACAGGTCGAGTCAGCCCTGCCATTAGAAAAGACGTGTCATTTCTATTATTAATATATTATTACAGTTTGATTAGTGTTCCTTTTTATTTACGAATTAACATTTATTATATTTCACTGGCACTAAATTTAAAATATATTTTCCAGAAATAAATTATAATAAAAATAAAAATTATCCAACGATTTTGTTTTGTTGACCATTTGGCGCCCCTTTGTGAGTAGCGCCCGGGGCATGATGCCCCCCCTTGCTCCCCCCTCGCTACGCCACTGGGTGACCACTTGGATCAGTCCGCATAGGGACCTGTGCGGTATTGGTCCTCGTTAAACTGTTCTACCGTAAAGTGCTCGATTTCGCATGCTGATCGTCGGGCTACCGAAGCGAAGCCATCCCTTCTGCAGAGAATCAAAATTGTGATGGCATGTCTTCGGATCATCCTCAGGGGTGTCTCCCAGACCGTCGCCAATAGTCTATAGTGCAGCTCTAGTGCGACGTGAATGAGCTACAGCTACAGCAACTATCCAAGTATTTCAAAAGTGATGCACTTTAAATTTTGCGTTTTAGTTGTTACTAAAATAAAGCTATTTTCTTCTTTTTAGTTCACTTAAATTTAGTTTTTCAAATTTGATTTTATTCTGATATTTTAATATAATTCAATTTCAGGTGGTGGAAAGTGGAATTCTGAAACAAATATCATCAAGTGATCGAAAAATTCAAGAAGCTATGTTCGAGGTGATAACATCGGAAGCGTCGTATCTGAAGAGTCTGAACTTTCTTATAGAACATTTTGTCCAATGTCCAGATTTCGATGGTACTCACACAAATGTTCTTGATAAGAGAGAAAGACATGTCCTCTTTTCTGATATTCAGCCTGTGAGAGATGTCAGTGCTCGGTAAATAAAAAGATTATGTTATTTTTTATTATATTTTAATCTGATTTAATTATAGCACAATAAAGCAACGGTTCCCTATTTTTTACCACTACAATGTTTAATTTATATCTATTTGCACATCTGACACTGCTATCTAGGTAAGTAAGGTACTGTTTCCTATCGTATTTTCTTCACGCTAAATCGACTGAAACCATGCAAGAGTTAATAGCTCAGAAGTTACAAGGATTATTATGTATATTTTATTTTATAACCGTCGTTGAACAGCCGACCCAAATTTCGGTTTACGACTATGTTCAACTCCGTAGCTAGCCTTATATTTTTTAACCCAATCCAGAAGACAAGGGAACTCCTGGATAAAGTATTGGGGCGAAATTTGCCTTCATGGAGGACTTTTTGATGGAGCTAACCCGCATTTGCGTTACATGTAGAGGAAGTCCACGAGAACCTCCCACGGTTAGCCTGACGGCAAGGGGACTCAGCACTGTGGTCGGTGCAAGCCAGATACGGAATTCGTATCGACTAGCCATCGCTGGGATACGAACCCGGTTCATCTCACTGCAAGGCGAACGCTTTATCCCCCGAGCCACCGCGGCTCGGTTATTATGTATAAAATATATTTTTAATTCGAAATTATTTACCCTTTTGACATTGCTGTCTAAGCAAGGGAGGTATTGATTCATGTATATTATTTTATGCTGAACTAAATCAGACCAAATTTAGGTCGATAAAATAAATAATTAAAAAGTTATATGGGTTTCATTCATAAAAAGTGCAATTTTTTTGTTTTTACACAGTAATTATAGCTAAAAATTTGTCGAATTACAAATACCTAAGAAATTTTTTTATCTGAAGCAAACTGTTTTAAATTTTTCACTTGGCGGCAAAAAGATGCACGACGTCGGGTAGGACGTTTAAACGATTTTTGAGGCTTCTAGTTGAGGTATGGAGTATCGAGATAAAGTTAATGTCTTTATTCATTTTTTTTTCTTGTCTCATATTATTACAGAGCACGAAAAAAACGGACAAACAATTTTGGATTTTAACTTTTCTAAAAAATAAATTAACAGAATATATCAAATAATAATGAGAGTCAACTTTAACTGATAAATAAATTTAATTGGTTTCAAAGTGGCCGACTTTTGCAGAGAAGCGCAAAAGCTATTGACGTTTTCAGCAATGGGAGAGATTCTTTTTCACTGATGAGAAGCTCTTTACTTTCCAACGAGTCCATAACTCTCAGAACGAAAAAATCTGGTCTGTAGGACGCTCCGAACAGCTTGTCAATTGTTGAACATAGCCGAAGTCAAAAGTTGTTTTTGGTCTGTGGTCGAATTTGCGAAAGTGGCAAAACACCTCTGTTTTTTGTGAATGAGGGTTCTAAAATAAATCAGAACATGTACCAACTGAACATTCCATAAGCTATTGTATTTCCGTGGGCAATGTAAACTGGACGTTTCAACAAGACTCCGCAGCTCACAAGGTCAGAAAGAAAAGAGACATATTTTCCGGACATGATATCATCTGAAGAATGGCCACCTTACTCGCCAGATCTCAATCCTATGGGTTATGGTCCATTTTAGAGTTTAGGGCCAGCAGGAAACCTCACAAAATTTTGTACTCTTTAAAGCAGTGGTTCCCAACCTGGGGGCGATAGAGCTTCTCAAGGGGGCGATAATCCTTAGGGGGGCGATCAGGGGGCGACGAGTACTCAAAAGATAAAAATTGCTAATAATATTAATAACAAAAGCTATTTGAGATTGAAATTGAAAGTATGTATGAAACTTATGGTTCTGGCGTAGACAAAGAATTATGATAGTTAAAAATTTAAAAAAAATTCAAGTGCAGGATCGTTTTCGTCATACGTTTTGGTATTGCAGGCTGACATTTAATAAGTCACTCTGTTTTTCTGAGCAATAATACTGTTTCCAGGCGTATTGACGAGATGGCCGCCGACGTTGAATCAAAACTCATCAAATTTTTGAAAGAAGGTAAATTTGCGTTGCAGATTGATGAATCAACTGTTTCGAATTCCTGCTCCTACATACAGCTGTGAGATGGCTTTCAAAAGGAAACTGAGCCGTTTCTTCGAATTGCTGGATTCGGTTACTGAGTTTCTCGACACCACTGATCCTGTTTTAAGTGAGAGTTTGAAGCAACGCAAGTTGGAAACTGCGTACCTCACAGATATTTTCGAAAAAATGAACGAAATCCAAGTAAAACTTCAAGGAAATAAAATGAACATTATCAAGGCTATTGAATCATATCTTCATTCATCGCCAAGTTTGATATCTACAAGTCAACATTGGTCGCAAAGAGCTAATTGCAATTTCCAACTCTTAAAAAGTGTTCAATGGCAGATATCGAGATTCTCAAAAATACGGTTACGAGTTAGCTTGGGTAAAGCTTTTATGAACACTTATCCACAATTGTGGAAACAAACTGAGCCGCTTCTAATCTCGTTCCCGTCAACATATTTAATGGAGAGAGGATTTAGTTCTGTCTTCCAGCTGCTCACAAAGCAAAGAGATAGGTTGGACATTTGCTTCAAAGGAGACCCGCTTTTAAATCTGACGAGCATAAAACCTGACATTCAAGCTTTAACTTGAAATACACCAAGCACAGGGCAGTCATTGAAGTGGTAAAAATGTACTTTCTCCCTCTTCATTTTTTTTCTCAAATTTTAGTTGTTAACGTTTTAACTTTTTCTTGATTACATTAAAATATGAATTTAAAAAAATGTACTTTTGTTTTGATTATTCCGTTTTAAATATCATTTCTTTTTGAAAAAAAAAAATTGCACAATTTTTTTTTAATTAATAAAAATGACAGGATAAATGTGCCTCCTTATTTGCATTACAATTTAAATTAAAATCAAATAACATAGCATATTTTCAGTGTTTGGTTGCTCACAAGCAACAATGAATGGTTTTTTGAGCAAAAAGAGAAAGGGGCGATATGTGTCAGCCAACCCCAAGAGGGGAGCGATGGTCCACAAAAGGTTGGGAACCACTGCTTTAAAGCAATTGCTTCTGTAGGAATGGGGTAAATTAAAGCTAGCCAAAGGTAGGTTGCGGCCCGTTGTTGAACATTCTGCATCGCTGCAAAAGGCGGCCACTTTAAAACTAACTGAATTTATTCATTATTAAAAGGTTACTCTTGTCATTGTCTTTATATTTCGTTAATTTTTTTTTTAAATAAAGTAATATTTATTTTTTGTTCGGGTTATTTTTGTCGCATCCTGTATATGGTAGAAATGTACAGATAACCTAATCTGCTTAGAAGAGCTATTTTTACGCTCTATCTTTAGTTTTTACTTGGATTTTTAAATAAAATTTGTGGCATTCTTTATTTTTTATTTATTTTTTTTTTTTTATCAAGATATTTTTTGATGTAGTTTTTCTAACTTGCACTTTTATCTACTCAAAAATTCTGCCGAATTATAAGTAAAGTTCTTTCGCCGACTTACATTTTTTTTAATAGAATGCTAAGCGGCTAGTTCATGCTAATTTACATTATTTCATTATACACTTAACTAATACAGCGTTAAGAACGAAGTATGCTCGTTATCATAATCTAGTGCAAAAGCGTAGTGGGAGTTTTTTTTCTACCCGTAATCTAGACTAAAAGCGTAAATGAACGGAATATATTCGGCTATAGTCTATAAATAACGTATAATATAATTTCTTGCTCTATGGTCTATAATAGTCAGAAAACATTAGTATCTTCTTTGGAAGGGGGAACACTTTTAGTTCATTTTCTAAAAGAGGATGCAACGCTGAATCTGTTAAAATGCTAATTTCATGGATTCAGAGCAATGCTGAAAGCTGAATGCAGCAGGGGCTATGTGGAGCAGTAAAGCTAAGTATTCAGTGAAACCAACTAGTTCGTTTCCACGAACTACTTGGCTTCACTACTTATGGTTCCTGAAAACGAACTAGTTGACAGCGGTCGGTTATTGATTAAAAATCAGCTATTTTTTAATTCTGTTTTAAAAGATATATTATTGTTGCTCATTTAGCTTTCAGCAATATTGAACTGTTGTATATATATATTACTAATTTTACAAATTTTATGTGCATTAATTAATATTATTTTTGCATTATTTTAATTACAGTTTTATTTATATTTTATATATATATATTATATGTTTCGGACTTTTAGAAAAAATGTATTTTTTTGTAGCCTTCTAGCTGATTTGGAGAAAAGATGGCTAGAGAATATTGTTCTGAGCAATATTTGCGACATAGTATGCCAGCATGCTAGTAGTTATTTTTCTGTTTACGTTAAATACTGTTCCAACCAACTTTATCAAGAAAGGACTTTAAAGGAACTTAAGTGAGTTGTTTAATGTTTTCATAAATACTAATCAGGGAAAGGGCATATATNATATATATAAAACCTAAAATTAATATTTAGGCTATTATATTTCTTATTTTATCATAGTCCATTACTACATTATCATAAGTGCTTAAAGTCTTGCGTATTTTCCAGACTTCCAACGGTTTTTAAAAGTTTACAGCTTGTATGCAGCATGATGATAAAATAATGTCAGGAATTTATAGATTAAGAAAGTACTGGAAAAATTCGACCAATTTTGGTAGTCATACTTTAAAGAGCATTTTAAAAATATTTTGAAAGTTTGATAGGTATCATCATAACTTTGGTAGTAATATATAAAGCATGAAATTAATGAATATGTAATCAAAACAATTATAAGAAGTCCAAAATTAATTTAATGCTGAGGGAAAAAAAATTGAAAATGGTAGTTTTAAATTTGCTAATATTTTTCAAAGAATAAAAGCATTTTATTTCTTAACTTCTGTTCTTTATGTTTTTTATTTTTAAAATACTGTTTCTCATAATATGGAATAAAAATTTGTGATAATATAAACTTTTTCTATTGTTTTGTACTCTTAATATCTGACATTTATTTTGTAATTACAAATGTTTTTTTTGTAATAAAATTTTATGAATGAAGCATTAATTTTAAGTTGCAGAATTTTGTCAGTATTGCCAAATAGTGAATAAAATGTAGTGAAAAAATATGGATTATTAACATGCTGTTTGCATTAAAGTTAAAAATAATAGTACTTATGATAGACCTCATAGCTCTCCACACCTAATATCAGAATTTTCCTGAATTACCCATCCTTTAATTTGCTAAGTAATCTATTTCCAATTTTTAAACTTTATGTATGCTGTAGAAATAAATTAAACATAATTTTTGCTCATTTGGTGAAGTATATTTCTTTTGACAGAGAAAAGAAAACAGAATTTGTTACTAAACTGAAACAATTAGAATCCAGTTCTGCTTGCCAAGGATTAGACATGCATTCATTTCTGATGCTTCCAATGCAGAGAATTACACGCTTACCTTTGTTAATTGATGCCATTTTCCATAGACTACCTCTAGAATCTCCGATCTATGACAGTTGCAAAATGGCGTTAGCAACTGTGAATAAGGTGAGAAAGAGTTCATAAATGTGCTCCCATGGTTTTTTCCATTTATAAATTGAATCGCTTTTTTATAATTCACATTTATCATTGTGCAGCTTGTAGCTGAGTGTAACGAGGGCGCCAGAAAGATGGAACGGATGGAGGAGATGTTGGTCATCAGTCAACACTTAGATTTTAGAGATTGCAAGGTATTATTAGCTATTTACTTTAATTGTGTTACAGCATTAAATTTATTCTACAGATATTCTCAAAGAATATAATACGGAGCGCTTTTTTCAAATTCCAATCTACAGTGTGCAAAAAAAAAAAGGAAACACCTTGGATAACTTTTGATCTAATGATCATATTTTCATTTACTAAGACTCACTAAGAAAGCCCTAACCTTATATGACTTTTTTAAAATTGAGAATTCCGAATACACATCATTAAATTATTTTATTAGTACTTTAGAATTTCTAACAAAAGCCATAGAATCTAAATCTGCCGAGTTAGATAAGAGGTATATTTACTCAGAGAAAATACGTTTTTGTCTCTGATTTCGTAACTTAATATGTCACCTGCACTAATATTAATCAATATATTTTAGATTAGGCCTTCAAACCATTAAAAGTGCTAGTATTTTAGATCAAAAGTTATTCTGTTTTTTTTTTTTCCATATCGTGTAAGTTTATTTTATGGAATTATTCATTATAATTATTTCTTCTGCAATTGAGCATTATGCATTACGTTAGCTTTTTTTTTTCTTAGTTAAATTCTTCATTGAATAATTCTCAACTGTGTGTCTTCTAAACATAAATTTACAGATTTTTATTGCATCATCTGAAAAGGTTGCGTAGAAAATATATTAAAACATAAAAGTTATAATTTTAGTTTTTTTTGTGCAATAAATTCAAATAATTTTTGAAAAAAATTATTCCTTAATTTTTGTTTGATGTTGTTGTTAATTTACGTCGCACTAGAGCTGCACAATGGGCTATTGGCGACGGTCTGGGAAACATCCCGGAGGATGATCCGAAGACATGCCATCACAATTTTGATCCTCTGCGGAGGGGATAGCACCCCCGCTTCGGTAGCCCGACGACCTGAGCGCGAAGTCGAGCACTTTACGGTAGCACAGTTTAAGGAGGACCATTACCGCACACCCTCGGTCCCTACGCAGACTGATCCAAGTGGTCACCCACCCGCACACTGACCGCAGCCAGTGATGCTTGACTTCGGTGATCTGCTGGGAACCGTGTCTTAACGATCAATCCACTGTGGGACAATTTTTGTTTGAAGTTAATATTTAAAAGCAGAAAAGTTGGGCAATCAGGTAGCGTGGTGCAGAGATGGGTTGATTACTGCCACCATCTGCTCTCTAATCTAGATTGCAATAGTGTAGTGAACCAGTATTATCATTAAAGATGAATCCCAGACCATCAACAATAGTTCACTTGTGTAGTTCTAGAATATATCAAGCAGATTCAAAGAATTATAGTTTGTTTTTATCATTATATAATTTTACTTATGTATAAAGAATAGCTAATTTTACTATTCACAATATATATGCATTTAAAATTAAGGTATAGTATTTATTTTAATTTATATTTTATAAAATAGGGTTTAGGGCTTCTATCAGCTTCCCGTTGGCTTGTTAAGAAGGGAGAGCTTGTTCAGTTGATGCTGGATGGTTCTTCCAGAAGAACATTTGGCCGTAGTACTCGATGGTGCAAGATTCAACTTTATTTATTCCTCTTCACGGATTTGTTAGTGGTAACAAGGAAAAAGAGGTATAGCTATCTATTATTTTTTATTTAATAAAACTCTCAATGTTAAACTTTTTTTCTACCAATAAATCATTTCAATATAAATTTCTCAGAATACCTATTATACATACATATGTATATAAATGAGCAGCAATGGCTCAAAGGTTATGCACTGAGCTGTCTTTGTGATGGGGTTTGATCCACAGTGAAGCTCACCTAGTTTCATTATGCTGGTAGGCAAGTAAATGTGGCCTGCGCGCAATACTGTCCACATGGCCACAATCAAGCCGTTGATATCGGAACATGACAACCTGTCCCACAACGGGCTATTGCGGGAATGTTTTATGCTTTACTTTATATACATAAATATCAACATAATGGAATTAATTCAAAACTTTTGAAATTGACTTATGTCACTGTTTTATTTCTGTTTATCTCTATAAATTACCTATTAGCCATTGCACAACGCAATTGTATTGTAAAGCAGATTCTTATTTACGTTTAAATTTGCATCACAATTACAATTCACGTTGGTGTTCTCTGAGCACCACTCTTGTCATATATTTTTAGAATCCTTGTTAAAAATTTAATTATTAATCAATAATATAGTTTAAGTTATAAACAAATATAGTAAAATTTTCGATTTAAAAATTAGCAGATTATAGTAAAATAGCAGTTTAATAATTTTTACTCTTATTTTTTTATTGACAATCTTTTGCAACTGTATTAAAACTCAAATCTATCTATCTATCTATCTATGTATATATATGTATTTATATTTAATTGCATTTATTATTTTAAGCACACACTCATGAAAGGGCAGTANTATAGAGAGAGAGAGAGAGAGAAATTTTATCATTCAGTATCTTATAAAATTTTGAATTTATTTCAATTATAGCATAGGAGAAAAACTTTAAGATACGCATTATTGTATGTTACCATTTTCTCACTTTACTTTTATCAATAAAAATTTTTTTTTTCTTTTCAGTGATGAAAATTATTCTGTTGTTGACTTTTGTCCCAGAAACATGCTTGAAGTTTTAAACATGGATGAAAATATGCCTCCATTACCAATGCGTTTACCATCTAGTTACAGAAATATCTTTCGATTGACATTGCTGCATAACAAAGAAGGAAAAGAAGCTGAAATGTTTTTAAGCTGCTTGTTAGAGTATGTGTATCAAACTGTTTTTATTTTACATATAAATTGTCATTTCTTTAAATTAGTTTAAATTAAAATAGCATTGATCGTAGAGCTAATTTGATGAGAAAAGAGATTACTATTAATTTGGTCTTATAATACAGTAATGAGAATATGTTAGAAAAGATTTTTTTCAAAAAATGGAGCTGAGGAGCAGGTGTAGTGAATTTAAGAGGACGTTATAGTGCAGGAGAAAGTTTTCATGTAAATTCTGTCTCACCTCCATTTATTATTTTTTTTTTTTTTTAAGTTTATAGAAAAGTAAGTACAGGTAATCCTAGAGTAAACTCACAAACACTCAACAGTTACACTGCTTGGTTTCTCCTTTACAAAATTTTACTTTCCTTTTAAACTCTAAGATATGGTCTTTTATGTATAAAAACAATAATTTTGAGTGCCATGCATTAATTTAATCAGAAGTAGCACATTTTAAGATATGTTAAACTATGGGGATTGTGGCTATGAGGTTATACGATAAAAAATTATCCTGCCTTATTTTTTTTTCACATTGTGGCTGGTAATATTCCCATCCTTTCTAGCATTTCCATAATTTTCTGGGAGCAAACAATATGGTTTAACAAAGTACAAGGACAAATTTATTTATGTACTTATTTCTATTTCTTTTTGTTTTAGGAGTGATCGTACAAGATGGATGGATGCTTTAATGCCTCCAAAATCTGAAAATCCAGATGAAAAGATATATGAAAAATGGGGTAAGTAAAAATAGTGGTTATGTTTGAAATTAAATAAAATATAACTAAATTATACCCTTGTATTTTAAGCTATTGTTATGTTATAATTTTATAGAAATTGTTTAACAATGTACCTATGTTATAATAAGCAACATTTATTTTTAGTTAAAAAATTGACCTTAATATTTAACTTAACCTTAATAAGTGTAGTCCCAATTGATAGTTTTTTTTATTTGTATTTATAGAAAGAAATAAGAAAATTTACTTATCAATACTTAATTCAAAATATTATACTTTTATTTATACATTATTTTATATATTTATATATATTTTTTGCCCTCAAATTTCTTGTAAATTAGTCTTGTAATTTGACTTAATTGTTCAAATTTTTTTCCTGTGTGCTTTTATGTTCAATGTTCATTGCAGTGTTAATTTACGTTCAATACTTTCATTGCAGGAATGACGCTCCTTTGTCTCATCCTCTGCACTTAAATTTAAAAAAAAAAAAAAAAAAACGGAAATTACGCTAAATCTTGTTGATTTTACTTTAAAGCGAGTATTCCTGTAAGGCGAGTTATCTTGTCCATCAAGATAAAAGAATTAAATTAGGCGGTATTTTTTTAATTGTAGAATTATTTTAATACCTTATTACTCTACATGCTTTCAATTTGTAGTTTTTTGGTGTATACCTGTAAAAAGAAATAAGAAAATTTACTTATCAATACGTAATATTCAAAATATGCGTTTACTTCCTACCCTTAAGTTTCTTGTAAATTAGTTTTATAATATCGTAATTTTTTTTAGAAAAACTAATCCATCGCATGTTACTGTTTGATTTAAATATATCAATTAAAAAGTTAGAATATATTTTTGGCAATATTTTAGCAAGGAAATATAAAATTAAATAAAGAAAAAGCTCTAAAATTAAGACGTAATGTAAAACCAATTTGCTATTGGAATATATTAGAGTATGAAAATGTCATTAAATATTTATTGTTTTTATTTCGACATCATATATGAACTGAGGATTTTACTGAATTAGCTATATTTTACTGCTGCAATTGTTACAGGTCTTTTTGCAAACTAAACTGCAATAATAAATCAAACTTGATTATGCATTTATTTAAAGATTTTTTTCTCCCTTTTTAGAATGCAAACAAGTGCAATGCATACATGTTTATAATGCTCAACAACCAGATGAACTGTCTTTGGAAGAAGCAGATGTGGTGAATGTCTTCAGGAAAATTACTGGTAATTATTTTGCATTTGCATTGCTGTTTTCGAAAAGTGCAGAAATTATTTTTCATGGTTAGTTTATGCTTGTGATTCGGAAGTAAATTCTGGCTATAATTTATAAAGAGAAACTGACATAAAATATTATTTTTGTCACTTGATTGTGAATTTATGTATTTGAATAATCAATAAAGTGAATTAATATTTCTTATAAGTGGGATGGTTCAGTAGTGGACTATCATTGTGAAGAACCGGGGTTCAATCCCTTATGGTGGCTTGAAACTCACCCAGCTTTTCTGGGAAGTACAGACAGCCTATGTACAATGCCAACCCCATTATCAAAATCATTCCGTTATTCATGAAAATGTATAGCCCAATTTCCCAGGGGCGGGGTAGTCTGGTTGGTAGGGCATCGGGCCCATGTCCAAGAGGTTGTGTGCTCGATCCCCGCTGGCCGTAAATGGTGACTGATGCCTGTTAAATCTGTCGAGTCACTAAGTCCTCCATGTTCCCACAACAAATCGTACCTCTTGGGGTATTGATCCAGGAGTTTCCTTGTCTTCTGGATTGGTTCAAAATTACAAGGCTGCAGAGTTGAACATTGGTAGTCGTAAACCCAAAATCGTGTCGGTTGTTCAATGACGATTATAAAATAAAATGAAATCTCCATGTCTCTAACTGGCCTACAAGGAACTGTTGCAAGAATGTTTTACTTTACTTTTTATTCCTGAATGAAAATGCAATAAAACATATTTATCTTGTTAAAAAAAATTTTTTTCCTGTCGTTTTTTTAATTTTTTTTACATATATTCTGGAAGAATAATTATCATACTTTATAGACTTTCTTTTTTTTTTTTAACTTATATAAATTAATATTTTGGCAATTTTTTGAATGAAATTTCCACAATTACTACACTATATTTTGCTACATTTTTTAAAACAGAAAGTATACAAGTAATTTTTTATATTTTTTTTATAGGTTGGTTTGAAGGGGAGAGAATTCGTGATGGCGTGCAAGGATGGTTCCCATGCTCACATGTGAGAGAAATAGTCAATTCTCACGTGATAGCTCGTAATTTGAGGCAGAGATATAGACTTTTGATGCTTTCTCGACAATATCTAGAGGAACAATACAAAGCTCAAGTTGCCCAATCTAAGAAGTGAAGGTGGAAGTATATTTAATTTCAGGCTTGTTATATACACTTGCCCATTTCATCTGCCATATAGTGTTTGCCATATTTTATGGATCTTACTAATATGTATATTTGTATTTTCGCATTTGTTTGTAATTTTAGCTCATTGGTGTAATATTTTTTAAATATTTTTTTATAACTTTGTCTATAAACATAAAATTTGTTATTTGTGTTTATATTAAGTTTTATATTTATTATTGTACATAATGGTTCAGTATTTTTTTTATTTAATTTTTTGATCTCATATTAATTTTTTGATGGATTATATTGACTTAAAATATATTGATCAAAACCAAATTTATTGTTAAAAGTTTTCTTTGAATTATCACTATTGTTTCAGTTTTTTTTTTCTGTTTTGAATTACAAAACAATAAAAATAAAGATACTTTCGATTTAAGGAAGATATTTATCAGTTTTAAAATATATGTACAAGTTTTGTAGAAATGACCATTTCGTTTATGTTTAATGAAAAAGACTTTTTTAATTAGTTTTAGAAAGTGATTTAAAAAAAAGTTCTAATCAAATTGTTTTATTCGTATATATATAGTTGTCACCTTTAATGTATATTTTTAGATACCTTATCAAAAATGAATTAAAAATCACAAATTCATTTTCGAGAAAAGAAAGAAAAAATCTTAAACTAACAAATCAACCTAATGAAGATGAGATATAAAGAATCAAAACCAGTTTGATTACCAGATAAAGTTTGGAAGCGTTAATGATAATTTTCCATAAACCATTTTTTGTATTCCTGTAGCCAGTTTCATAGTTAGTTAGATTTTGATTGCGTTTTGTTGTTCCCTCGCGGAAATAATTATATTGATCAAACCTCTGATGTGTATACTTTTTTAATCTCATTTTTGATGAGAATTCCAAAAATATAGATAAAGGACAGTGATTACGGAATAACCTCTACATTTATTTAAGAAGTTGCATGGTATTCTAGTAGCATTTCTAAATTAGTACATGGAAAATTGTTTTCTCTTTTACCAATACATGACATTGGAAAATAATTTTTTTCACAGGGTTAGATGAAATTAAAATTGTAGTTGACATCAGCTATGCGTATGAAAGATTTTGTAAATCAATAAAAGGCAGTAGATGTGATCAGTCAAATTTTAGGGAGCGAGGACAATGATGAATAAAGAATGCTTTCTGTAGAATATTATAATCTAAAATAAAAAGATCATTTTAAAATAAGTTAACAAATAGTATTTTAATGCAAAGAATTACTAATATGTTATTCTAAAATCTTTTATGTTCTAAATTAAATGATATAAATTACATTTGATGACTTTGCAATGTTCCTAAATAAACAGCATTTCTTTTTTCGTTTAGTAAATTGATTATATTGTTTGAATTGATATTTGTATTTATATATCAGTATAAATAAAAATATTATATAGCTAATAATATTATATAGATTGAAATAATATTTTAATCAAAAGTAGATTAAAAATAAATCAGATGGTTTTTATAATGATTACTTTACTTAAGCTCAAAATTTGTTATATTCTAAGTTAATTGAGTTAAGACTGGATCATATTATTTGTTACCTTCATATTATTGTGATATATATAAATTGCAAAGTATGTTTGACATATTAACTTTTTTAATAATGAACAATTGTATCTATCTTTTAATAATGAACTTTATTTTCACATTTTGGAACACAACTGTATATTTTATTAGGCACGAATATTCAGCACTCCTGCCAGATATTCGCCGCCTAAGTTTTTTTGGGGGGAAATTTTAATAGATTTAATAAAGAATAGTCTAAAATCGTATTTTTTACCATACAATATTAGAAATAGTTTTACACATATTTCTTAACTTATGTTTTGAAAGACATATGGAAAAGAAGAATTGAAACTAGATTACTTTATACTGAATGAGTTTTGTAATGCTGTTTTCTTTTTATTAATTATATCCAGGCAAGTCAATTTCCTCGTTTTTTCAACACTTTTTATGTTTTAAAAATAATTTTTTTTTTGTTTTGTTTTAACTAAAGCGAAGCATGTTAACAGAACTTTTCTAATAAGCTTTATTCTTTTTTCATCTCTTATTTCGTGTACGGTACTAGTAACCTAAAAAACTGATTCTTAGTTTTAAAGTTATATTTCAGAACTAAGGGCGATTTTTTTTTCTGTTTCTCTTTTGATTTTTTTAAAACTTTTTTTTTCTATTAGCATTTTTTAAAGAGTGCTCTTTTATGGTAACTTTTTTTTAAAAATATGGCATTGTGAAAGTTTCATTAAGATTTTCATAGTTAAATCTTTCATTTAAAAATTAAGAATGATTTTTGTTTTGGTTCCTATCTAGCTTTTTCTTTCATGTTTTCTTACTTTTTTATTATGAGTAATTAAAATGGTTTCTACTATAGACTTTTTCCTGAAAATATGATAATTGGAAAATTTGTAATATTTAGCTTTAAAATTTTCCTTCAAAATTAAGATAGATTTTTATTTCTTCAGTTTTGCTTTTGAATTGTGTTGTTGAATCTGTTTTTTTATAGCCGTTTTTATGATAGCACTGCATTTCATCCTCTTTTTATGTCTTATGAATATTTTTTTCAGAAAATATAATTTTAAGCATTAAAATTTGGTTATATTTAAAGAATTAAGAGGTTATTTTTTTTTTACTTACCAACTTTAGTTTTTTTTAAATCTTAAATACTACGATCATCTTCTATTAAAGATTTATCCCTTTACCCTGCTCCAATAATAATAAGTTTTGATTACTTTTCCATAATGACTAAATTTATATCGGCATAAGAAATAATATTTATTAATAATTCTTTTAAAAACAAAAATTTGCTATTTGGCCGCCGAATATTTGGTATTCCGCCAATTCACTATTCGTTACATCCCTATTTTTTAGGCATACATTATTTAAATTATATATAATTATTTTTAAATGTTCAAGAAACAAAATAAATATTAAATATTTTGTACTGAATTTTTTTTTACTCATTTGCTATATATTTTAAATTGAAGAGAAATCAATCAAGTTTAAATGGGAAACTATTTTTATAGTTGGTTAGAGAATCCAGTAAATCATAAAAAATAATATAAATTTTAAAAAATTTAGAAATCTTTTTCTCTCCTTTTGTAAACATAGTTTTATAAACTGCATTTATTTTTTACTCATTTATATGAATCTCAAATAATGATAATGTAAAAGTTTAAAGACTTGTAAACTGCAATTTGTAGCTTTTATACACCTAAAATATAAACAAAATAGTTTTAGTTATTAATGACTAAAACTATTTTTTAACTAAATTATATATAACTAAAATTATTTATTAAAACTAGTTTTTAGTTATTAATTAAGCACTATATCTAAGTATTTGGTTTGCATTCAAGTTAACTTTTTTCTAAATATTTTGTGTTTGCAACATATTTTCTTCAAAGTTTGGCTATCTGATTTCACAATTTTCTAGTAACAAAGCCTGTACATTATAGACTTAGTTTTAAAAAGAAAATCATAGTTTTTCATGTTTTTGTACTATATATTTAATTAATTTCTTTAATATATTAACTACCAAAGGCTCAGGTATTTTGTTCCTTTTCTTTTTCAATGGAAAAAACACATAAGTGCATTAAAGATGCCTTTTTTTATAAGCACTTTTATAAATTTTTTTTGAAATATTTTATAAAAAATTGTATCAAATGAATATTTTATAAAAATTTTTTATAAACTTGAATTGCTGACAATTTAACAAAACATCAGAACTGTTTAGAAATTACTTACTATGACTCAAGTAGATATTTTTAAGTTATAGTTAATTTTTTATCTGTGATTTTTAACTATGTGCAATGTCATTAAAAACAATTTTTTCCAATGATGTAAAATATCTACAAAATTATGAATTTATGTTCCATTTCTCAACATTTGTCGCAGAAGGAAGAAAAATAAAATTTTGAACAAATAAGTTACTTTAGTTTGTTTCTTTTCTGAAACACATTGACGGAATTGTAGAAAAATGTTCATCAAAATCAGGTGATAAATTGCTCTGGAAGAAAGAAATATAAATCATCCTTATTATAAACTACAATTTTTCAGTTATAGAAAATATTTTTGACATATTACCCAAATTTCATTATCTTTTCAGAAAATATTTCAATAGATAATTAGCTAAGATCCTCAAAAAGTGATTTAAAATAAAGTTAAATACATAATTAGGATGTCGGCTAAGGAATAATAGAACAAAGTAAGTATCAACGATTATTGTTGGAACTAAAACTTAAAATAAACAAAATTTATTTTTCACTATCTTCAAAGTAAAACTTGGCAAATAAAGTAAATAATTTTTACTTCAATTTATAGTATAACAAAATTAGTAGTATTGTTGATTATTTTAAGAACTAAAAATTACAATAAAAAAGTTACATCTTCACTATCATCTTAATATTAAAATTTAGCCAATTACAGGAAATAAATATTTAACTATTGATTCTCTTAAGAAATAATAGAACTAGATTAGTACTATTGTTGGAATTAAAAACTACAAAAAACAAGTTGCTTCTGTATTTTAACAAGTTATTTCTGGATGCTTAAATATAATAAAGGGAAATTTTTTCTAAAAGAATAATAAATATTCTTTTCTAAAAATTTAGCGTGAAATTAAATTTTTTAGATAGATCAGAATGTTTTAACTATTTCCGGTACAATATTATTAACGAAACACTGAACAACCAATGATAGATAATATATGGAAAATTTTTACAGTACAGCTGCATTAAAAAAAAAAATCTGTATCAAGTAATAAATATTTCCTCTTGCCAAAATTCATATATATTAGTAATAAAGCTCAAGATTTCCTTAATCAAAAAGTTTTATAATAATAATCGTGAAATGAAAATAAAGTGAATATACTGCTTAACACTCTTGCAAAAAAGTAATTTAATGAATGACCCTTCAACTCACGAATAACAAATTATATGACTATTGTTGATTGGAGTACATAATTTTAAAAAAAAATTAGATGAAAGAGACGAATCAAATAATAGCAAAGCTACAAAATGCTACCCAATGAGACTTGTTACTGTGTTATCTGTATAAATAAATAAATGAGTGCACAACCTCTTAATTCATCCCCATAATTTGATATTGTAAAACAGTTATTTTTCTTTGTCTTAAGATGACTCAATTCCCAGAAAATATAAAACAAACCCTCCAAAATTTATTTGTCTGAAGTACGCATATAATTAGTGGACAATCTACAAATTTGAACTGTCGAAATTTGATTTTTACCAGCTATATTAGAACAAGAAGCTAAAAATCAAAACAAAATATTTTTCACCAGGAAATTCAGGATAACTACAAACAATGGGATGAATTGATAACAAAATAGGATTTATAACTATACCTTTATAATAATAACTTATTTTTAACTATATTAAGACAAAAAATATAGAAAGGAAAAAAAATATAGTTCAGACCATTAATTCTAAAAAAATATAATAAAACAGTAATATAACTGAGAAAAAATAATTCAAAATTTTCTGAAAACATAAAATTTGGAGACTGCATCACTTGAAGTAAACCTTTCAATGAGTAGGTATTGTAATAATACCTATAAAAACAATGCTTAGTTTAAAAAAAATAAAAGACTAATAAGAAACTTAACACACAAACTTATTTTATAATGGTTTATTATCCATATGCTTTTAAATACAATACCAAAACTTAATTTATCATGCAAATCAAATTTACCATTTATACACTAAATTCATTTGCTCATCAAGGAATATATTAATCATTTACAGGTAAAAAAATATGCCTATAAAATAAATATGACAAACTGTAAAATGTTGAATTTAGGAGTTCAAGATTATTTTTATTTGACTAGTTAATACATAAATAGTATCAATGGAAAGTGACTTGATTTAGATAAAGAGTGCATCAATAATGTTAAAAAAAAATAATTACTAAATATGTTATAACTAATCAAACAAAAAATATTACAATAAATTTAGCAAAATTATTCAATTATGTTATTGAATACAATAATTTTCACATGATAAATATCAGCTAGGTGCAAGAAATCTAGTTAAATATACAGTAAAGCTTAATTATCCGGCTTGTATTGATAAGTATTTTCCTGAATAATTAAGATGCAATAAGTAATTAACAACTTATACTAAACGTTGTTGAAAAATAATATTTTTTTTTTAAAGTCATGTGCGAGTTAGGATATTGCCTGATAAAATCTAATTAGGATGAAAAGCCATACGATATTCTTTAAGAGATAATTAACTACAAATGGCAGGAATTTTTTTCTACAATTACAAAAACTTCATGAATAATTCAATAAATAGTTGATTGATTCATAAAAAATGTTATTTGGATGAGATTTCTTTTATGTCTGACGAAATATTTTCATAATGGCTTTAGACCACAAAGCTAAAGGGGAGCTTTATTCTCAAAGAGAAAATATCTAATAGTATTTAGATCTTGTTTTCTTATCAGCTGAAGATGACAATAAAAATCACTGTTATAAAACTTATCTTAAAAAAGGCTTAAAAGGATTTAAAAAAATACAATAAAGTGATTTCTACATTGAAGATAATTGATAATTATTTCTCAGTTGATTGAAAGCCGGATAATCAAGTTTCCACACAAAGCAAAACAATTAGATTTCTGCATTAATTCTTCAATATGCATTGCCCCAGTTCCCTCCAAACAAATATATATAATTCAAATGTGGTTTAGAAAGAAAAAAATGATCGAGCTCTCCTGATGCAAGTGCATTGGCAATGTTCTTTCAGCCTCTCCAAGAGGTTTCAAAATGAATTTCTTCAGATATCAAAATGTGAACTCCTCTAACTGCTGTTATCACTTTGTTAGGATCACTTTTCCAGAGTCCTCTTTGCCCCTATATTTGGTCTTTCCCCGTGTCCAAGGAAGATATCGATATTTGATCATATGCTACAAAAATAAAGGTATAAATGTCAGCTATAACTTTCTCTAAGTACTACAAATAAAAATGTATGTATCTACTTCAGGGAACCTTCAAAAAATTGTACCATAGAACTTATATTAATACACCAAAAACATATTATTACAGCACCTTTTATTACAATACCAATAGTACTTATTATCACAACGAAGCATCAATAATAGATTGGTGTTTTTTAATACCCTTCAAACCAAACAAATATATATAGTGAAACCTCCGTTAAGCGGACATTCATGGGACCAAAAAATTTGTCCGTTTATGAGAGTTGTCCGTTTACGGGAAGGGTACCCTAATAACGAAATTTAACACCGTAAATTGTTTTAGAATATTCTAAAGATGTCGAAATAATTAAATAATATCTACAAGGATACTGTAAATATCTACAAGAATATTTATTTAAACAATAAGAAAGATAAAAAAGAATATATAAAGAAGTTTGATATTAAATACATAATTCTGGATGTAGCTACAGGTAAATAAATATAATTTTCCTATTAGCATAGATACTCAAGTTAGACATATGATATCAAATAGGAGCGTACTGTCCTCAGTCATTAGGCTCAGTTTCAATTATTAGGTTCACATCCCCTTACACCTACTTATCATTTGATAGGGAACAGGGTTAATACCTTCTTGGAAAATAAACCTCCCATGATTCACAGAAAATAAAGTAATGCATACCTGTAAGTCATGAGGACCTATGAAGATGATTATTCACAATTGATCAGCTATCCAGTGTCTGAATAAATGTTTCATTTATATAAACACCTCAAAGATTATACTTCTGTTCTTTTTTTTTTACCCCAGTTGTGTTAAATACAGTCTTCAAATTGATAAGAAAATTAAAGAAATTTTCAATGGGGAAGAAGCATTGAGAGAAGTCATTTCAACTTGAGGGGTCTCATAACCTGTGTGGTCCAGATGAAAAGATCAAAAGATGCCGATGTCAGAATTATTTCAGGAGTGCAGTACCATTTTCTCTCCTTTCTTTACAAAGATAAGGCAAGGTGACAGGAGAAAGATTGATTTTTCGGTGGTGAAATAGCTTAACAATATTTTTAGTTATGGATAAGGCAAAAAGTTTTATTTACATGCTTTAAAAATGGTGAAAAGTTGAATTTTTTTAGCTTGCAATTTATTTAGAAAAAGTAGTGTCCGGTTTGTAGAGATAAAAATCAACGTTTCAGGACCAAAATGACTGTCCGCGTCCGGTTACGGGAGTGTCTGCATTGCGGAGAATGTACGTAATGGTTTATTCATAGAAGATTCCCGGGGAATTAAAAATATGTCCGTATTGAGAGGCGTCCGTTTTGCAGGAGTGTCCATAACAGGAGGTTTCACTGTATATATAATCGACATTAATTACAGTATTTACAACATTTATAGCAAGGCAAATATCATAGACCAGCTTGCCAAATAACCAAATGAAGAAAGATCTAGTAAAGCCATTAAAAATTATTTCATTCTATATGATGCATATAAAGAACATTTAAATTAAGTTTACTCCTTAGGTATGCTAACCGGAGTTCAGTTCTTCCTAGGTAAAACAAATTGAGGATATTATAATTTTATATATAACATTTCTCAGACAGGTTTGTCTAAAAACAAAGTGGTGACTTAGTTGCACTCTGTTAAGATTTTTTTTAAAAACAAATGAAACTTTTTTTGAAGCCATAAACTTTCTATTAGAAAAAAAAAATGAATCCTTCATTCTTTTGAAGAATTTTTTAAAATATATCAAAATTATTAAATTTAAAATGCTTTGAGGCATTTTCAGAAAATCTTTTTAAGATAAATTTTAAGAATTAAAATTTAAAAAGAATAACTTTTCTTTCTATTAGATAAAGAATTCTTCAATTCCTTTGAAGAATTTCTGGAAATGAGTCAAAAGCATATTAAATTTCAAATAAAACCAGTATATGAATCAATAGAGGCATTATCTAACTTAATATTTTTTCCCACTATTAATGTTTTCTCTGGATTTTTTTTCTTTTCAAACATTTTTCAACCTTAAATTTTTCAAACAAATCTGCCCATCCCTTAATTAAAAATATAAATAAGCCTTTTTTATTTATTTAATTTGTAGCAAAATTTGTTTTGTTGAGTTGAGTTTAAGGCATAAAACCTAAAACTATAAGGATTTTGTTTTAATTAATGAAAACTAAGATCCCTTTGTAAATTGGATTTATTCCAACAGTTTAACTTGGTGAAATTCATAAAATGTAGAAGTTACTAGAACTGAATAAATTTAAAAGTCAAAGCAGTTGGAAGGTCTTTAAAATATTTAACTTTAGACAGATATATTATTCTATTTGCAAATCATCTTGCTTTTCATGAATTCAGTAAACAGCTATAAAGATTTGAAAATAACATGTAAACAATTAATTTGAGCACTTTTTATATAAAACAACTTTCTGGAATTATCGCAAGCTAAATTATCATATAAATTTAGGACAAAGCTGATTAAAAAAATACGATGTTTATAGCTTAAAACATTTATAGAATTTTTTTTTAAGAATTCATATGAAAATAAAAAAGACCATACATAACTTTATATGGAAAAAAATCAATTTAATGTAAATAGTTGGAGTTCTCTTAGTTTTCAAAACATTTTAAGCAAAACTTTAAGCCTTATAGTTCATGCTAAAATTCTTTAAAACTAATCAAAAATAGTAGTTGATACATTGCCAAGTGCATACATTCACACCAAAAATAAATAGTAGTAAGATAAGACTTTAATTACCATATGCATTTAACAAAAAAACATTTCTTACTTTGATTTGACGTTTCATTGTTATTCCAAATAATGTTAGGAAGTACAATAAAAGAATAGGCCAAAACACTGGAATATTGAACATTTGAAAAAATGTGCAGAGAAGTGCCACTAAAGTTGCTTTTGTAGTAGAATACCTGTTAAAAAAAGAAAGAAAAAAAGTTTAAAGCTAGTGAAATACAATTTTACATAAAAAACAAGAAATAATAAAAGTAATTTTAATAACCAGAATTTGAACTCTGGGAGACGTCTCATAAAAGGTTTGAACTCTTCATTGTTTTTGGTAGGTAAGCTAGGTCCATCATCTGAAAGTGAATTACCACAATTAAACAATAAAAATTGTTAAATATTGAAAGCTAACAGTTTAAATAGGAAAAAATATTTTAAAAAAATACTAAATCAGTCTACAACCACCGAAAAAAATTGAAATAGTTTATCCGCTATAAAATTTAGCTGTTATATTTTTTTTGCTAAATTAATTATGAGTTTTTGCTGGATTAAAAAAAAAAAAAAAAACCTTGTTGATCACTCCAAGTTAAAATGTTTTTTTGTTCATTGAATGTAGTTCACAGCCAATCACAGACTGTCATAACTATCTAATTATGTCAAACACAGGAACTCTAGATGTTAGTAAGTATTAGAATGTAATTAATAACAAACAAGTATTAATTTTTCTCTTTTATTAAATGTGGCTCATAACCAATTAAAGACTGTCACAACTCTTTAGTTACATCAGATATAGGAACTCTTTATGTTACTAGCCTCATAGTGCAACTAATAACAAACAAGCCACCTTTATGTTAGTGCTTCGTTTACAGACTTAACTATTCAACATATTTAATTTATATGGATATTGAATAATAATTTTTTTCAACTCCAAATAAGTTGACTTTAGTACCATTAAAACATTATTTATTGGAAGCTTTACTTTTTCTGCTTAGAGTTGAGTGGAAAAGTAGCTGAGAGCCATTGAATTTTATATGAATAATTATATGGGAACCTTGTTTAATCTATCTTATCTTGTAAGTAATGATTAACATGGTACAAAGTAAGGATTCAGACACATAAAGTGGATAATTCCTCGCCTCTAAATACCAGTTGATAGCAACAGTGATGTCAGACTTGACCATCACTCCTGAATATTTAAGTTAAGTAAGCCCACCAGCGCAGAGCTTTTAGCAGCTCAGACTCAAAAATATAAGGACTTAAGGTACTAGAAATTACAAAGAAAACTTCCATAAAACTTTACCAAATAATCAATTTATTTATTACAAGTAAATAGGATCTATAGTGAAATTTTTTCTAAAAAGTAGGGGAAAAAAGCAGAAATTTGAAAGATAAATAGTTAGTAAAATAGGAAAAAAATTATAAAAATAAGTTATAAATGCCGTATTTGCCAAACAATACATTTTTTTAAAACATATCTCTAATATTTAAAAATTTCATAGTATAAAGAGCACTTACATTTTTCTTACAAATAAAAATAAAGATATCAGGCAACATAAAAGGATAAGGGAAAAAGGTGGTTTTGGGAGATTATACACTCTTTGTAATTAAATATACTTAATAAAAATATAAATGAATTTTGTAATAATTAATTTGTAATGCTTCAATAGATTTTATTTTAATTTGACAGAATGATTTCAAACTATATTTTATGGAGAGATAAACAAGTAGTAAAGAATTTTTAAAGAATAAATAATATACAATGAAGCTGTCTATAATTTTTTTTAAAGATAAGTCGAATAATTATTTTAAAAAGCTACATGAAAATTTTTCTAAAAAATATAATTTACAACAAATAAATTCATAGTAAAAAATATGAATAATATCAATGTCAACAAAGATACACAATTTAATGAAAGTGATATTTATCACCAATAGCACACACACAATTCCCATTATACAATAATTACATAAAAAAGTTAGAGACTATGATATAACAAAAGATTGAAAGAGAAATGTCTAAAATGAAGAAATTATTATAATACATATTATTTAAAAAAAAAAAAAAAAAAAAAAAAAAAAAAAAAAAAAAAAAAAAANAAAAAAAAAAAAAAAAAAAAAAAAAAAAAAAAACAGATTTAATTAATAAAAATTTAGAACATTTAAAAGCTATGCTCACCTTGGCAGTCCTCTAAAACAAAATTAAAGAATAATTAGTTTATATTTAGTACTTTGCACTATATTTTAATATTCGGAAGATAAATTTTTTTTAAACCTACTACAAAATATATAAATTAAATTATTATGCAAACTATAGAAATATAGAATTAGTTAGAACAAATATACAATTGATTATCCTGAATATACATTTCAAGCTAATTATTTAAGTTCATTTAAATATTCTAATGGCCTTTTAAAATCAATTTTTTATTGTTTGCCTAAATCTACTCTAGATTTCTATAATGCAACTATAAAACTGGCTACATAGCATTTGCATTATAAACTCAGATACATCAAATGGTGCGATAAACTAAGTCTGATGCAATCAGAGAGGAAATAATCCTGAGGGGATGTTATTTGAGGTAAGAATAAACAGATTCTTTGACTATTAATCAATCAAAAAACAAATTTCTGACATTAGATTAAGTTTATATCAATAAATAACTTTTTTTTTACTAACAATTCTGTCATAACTAGTTCAGACTTTAAAATCTTCTACTTTCTTTTTTTTTTAGTTAATTAACAGTATTCAACTTTGTCAAAGTACTTTTATAGATCAGTCAAACACAGATCTTAACTTTGTCAGATTCACTGTTAAATGCAAAATTTTTACAGTAATGATTGATTACGATAGACAATGCTCAGATTGAACGTTTATTTACAGTTGCGTAAAAACAAAAAGTTTATAATGTGATTCGAAAATTTAATGGAATAAACACAAGATAATTCATAGCTTGAGAAAAGTTTTTACAAGTAAACCATATTAAGTTTTATTTCCTTTAATTTTTTTTTACATATCAAATTTAAAAAAAAAAAAAAAAGAAAGAAAGAAAAAGCTCTTCATATTACCTAATCAAATTAATATGATTATAGAGTGCTACCAAAGTAAATTTGAAATCTTAATTGCTTTTATTTTGATAATATTAAAACTTAAATTAAAGTTTTTCATTGACAGTTTTTAAAATATAACACATAATACAGGAGATTTTATCCTTTCAATATTACTGTTAAAATAAAATCTACTCAATAGACAAAATATAATCTGTTTCACATCCCTAGTCTGACTAATTGCATAATACAGTTAGATTGTAACACAGTAAAGACATTTAAATAAACATAAATTTTGTAACAATTTATTTAATATTAACAATGAATTTAATTAAACAATCATTTTGATAAAATATACATTTATAAAAAATCATTTACCATCTGCCATGGCTGGGTCAATTTTAGGTGATAAGAAAGCAAGGAAGAGATTAAGTTGATAAATTCCTAAAGCGTATGTAATAATGTACCAACCCTGTTAAAAATAAATTTAGGATATATATGTTAGATATTTAATAACAAATACATACAATCAATTAGCAAGATATTTAGATCCTTTACAAAATCAAGGCATTAAAAACCATTTCAATGTCAACATTAAACTAATATGATAAATACTATGAAAGTATGCTAATATTCGTTTAAAAGAAGTTTTATATTTATTAGTAAAATAGCAGCTTTAATCATAAATTATCATCCTTCAAAAACAGATTTTATTTTTCTAAAAATTATTATTTTTTTATAAAATTTAAATTGTCTTAAATATCTTTTTTTTATTTTGATAACATTGAGGAAATTATATTTTATGCAATTAAATTGCAATGCTCTGTTCCTTCATTATTTTTCTTCAAAAGCTACATTTCATAGATAAAATTAAAAACTAACTATCTGTTATTTATAATGTGGTAATTTGTTATCTTCAACTATTTTATAACTTTCTGAGTGTGTATTTTAGATAACGCTACAAGTTTAATAAATAAATAAAGCAATTATTACAAGGAACATTTCTATGATATTTCTTAAATAAATGATGCAATAAATATCTTTTGGATCAAAGAAGTATTTGAGGATGATGCAGCAGAATAAAAAATGTCATCTCAGGTAAAATAATTTATTTATTTTACTTTGTCTCAGTAAAAATATATTTTCTCAATAGTGATTTCCAATTACAGATGTTATACCGAATTACACATGACTTTATATTTGGTAGATAAATTAAACTACCTTATATTAAATATTTGCAATTAATTAATATTTAGATGTGTACACATGAGAGAATGCACATTTTAAAACTAAGGATTGAGGCCACGCTACTAAAATAAATACCAGATGTGCTTATCTACTAATTTAACAAAAATACCTTACATCTTTTTTAAAAAATTAACATCATTCCAACTGATATTTAATTAGTTTATCACAGAATATTTAAAATAAAAATAGGAAAATCGAAATTTAGTAAAAATTATCATCAATATTTAACAAGGGAAATTGTGGCTACATGAAAAAATATCTGAAATTTTAGCAGGAAAAAAGTGCATGTAGGAGAAATTGACTTTAATATGCATTTTTTATGGTAAATTTCTGCTTTTAGAAAATTATAAATTCTATTTATAATTTTTACAAATGCTATTTATAATTTTCATAAATAAGAAAGTGATATACTTTTTTGTAATCCTATTACATGAAATTTCAATTCTTAGATATTTAAGAATAAATGGTCAAAATTCATCAACATTATGAGCATTATTATTTTTAAAAATTAAAATATAATTACATAACAATGTTAATAGAGATTTCAATTCTTAACACATATTTACAAAATTAGCTTCAGAAAAATGATATGTTTTAAAAATTCTTTTTTGCCTAACTGTGCGAAGATTGAAAATAAATGCTACAAACATGATTCGAATTATAAGTAGGCTAGATAAAAAACTTGCTTTTCCTTCATGAACTCGTATTGAACTAAATTGCATAAATAAGAAATGTGCTGCTTGATTTTAAAATAGCCTAAATATGAATAATGAGGTTTGATTTTTAAATTGTGAGAAGTTATTTTAAATCACATGAATACGAATATCAATCTTTGATTTTAAAATCGTGTAAATATGAATCATGATGTATAAATTTTAAAATTTCTCGAAAACAAATAGTTGTGTTAAATTTAAAATTTTGTGAATGCGAATCACGATGTGTAATTTTAAATTTGCATGAATATGCAAAGTGCTATCTCTGTAAATGAAATGTGGTTGATTTGTGGACTGGGATATTGCAAGTATGACTAAATTGTGATGCGTAATTTGTAAATCAGGTAAATATGAATAGGAAAATAAGATAAAAAAAACGTGAAGTAATGAACTGTTAATCAGATGAATATTAATAGCAAATGGTAATCCTTAAATATCTTTAAGACTATGTCTACTTCACATATGTCATTAACATAAATTGTGATACGAGATGTATAGTTCAAAGAGAATAAAAGCTAATTAAAAGAGCAAAATGTTGCCTATTAGAGATAAAAATTACTTGGAAAATCTATTGGAAACGATAAAATAAAAAACTGCCATATTAATAACAATAAAATTAAAACATTGACCAAACAAACAACCACGCACTACAATCTCTAAAAAAAAAAAAAAAAAAAAAAAAAAAAAAAAAAAAAAAAAAAAAAAAAAAAANAAAAAAAAAAAAAAAGAGCATTGTGTAAATTTTCCAGAATTCAGCCAATTCTGTTTCAAAAGTTAATTTCAATTTGGTTAGAAATTTTCGAAATTTGGCACAAAATGTTGCAAGAAAGTATAAAAATATGCGTCTGGACACCAACTGCCACAAAGAATACATTTTAGCACACTTTGCAGCAACTGTTTGATCCCTACATTTTTCATTAATGCATAAGTGACTTAACAAATTATGAAATACCTATTCAAATATTCAGTAAATATTACAATTGCGTAACACACTAAATAAGTATTACCTGTAAAAGGAAAACTCTGGCCAAAAAGCTGACAAGCAAAACAAATGAGCCTACCCAGCGGGAAATAGTATAAGGCGTCCATACATCTAATATGTGCTGATAAACCTATTAATATAAAAAAAAGTAATTATAAATGCAGTAAAAAGAAACAAATAATCAATAAAAAATTTTAATAAATTGATTTAAAAAAAAGATTTTTGATGCTTGCACAAGCTGCATTCAGGATTATTAATCCCTTCCTTCTCGCTCCCGTGAAAATAACAGGGTGAGGTTTCGTCCTCTATTTCTCGCTCCCGTGATATTCCCGGGCTGTAGTGTTCAGTAGTAACACACCAATAAGAATAAATAAAACCAATTCATTTCTTTTATCCGGAAAACATTTTATTTCTCATTTTACACACCAGACGGCAGTATCAGGATATTTTTAAGGTAACTGTAGAAAGTATATTTTAAACTAGATGCCAGCACTAATCAAACAGGTATATAAAAAAATAGGCACTTTTATGACTGTTTTCTTGAAAATTAACCGATCGTTAAGGGGCTAAATGTGGGGTGGTTAAAGAGTCTTAAGTAGTTAAAGTGAATGTGTAACCCCATCTGCCTTTTAACTAGATATTAATTTTAAAAACTATACCTAATAAGAAAAATTTTATGAATTTTTTTTCAAACAAACTTAACTCTTTGCTTATGGCGTTTAGCATGGTAAAACCTGTCATTCTGGTCCGTTTGTTACATCAGCCATGCCCATAAGCAAAAGGCTAATAAACTTTGAAAGAACACAAAATTATAACTAAACTTTTAAACTCTAAAACTTTAAGTTATCAAATATATATATACACTACTTTACAATAATGGAAGAGGCACTTTTATTTTTAAATTTCTTAAATACTCAAGAAATATTTACATGAATTTTTTTTAAATATCTCATAAAAAGGTTTACTCTGAAACTTTAGAGGTGTATATTCAATCAGTGTAGTTATTATCCATCATGAAAATAGCGCAGCTTTACTACGAAAATTAATAAGAAATGCAGAGTTTTCTCTAGGAATAAAGAAGGGCAGGATGCTTTCTTACAGCACCATAAAAATTTATCAAAATGTGTAATCTTATGCAATAATTATACTTGATCTTCAACAATTTTTAAATGATGTCCTTAAACTATTTTCATTTCAAAAGATAATTCTCACTTATTATCAAAATAAGAATAAGAATATTATCAAAATAAGAATAAGAATATTATCAAAATAAGAAGTAGAAGCATGCAAGAAGACACCACAGAGCAAAAAAATTTATTTCAAATAAAATAAAAAAGAAATTATTATTGATAATCAACTTAAAAGCTTTTTCTGTAATTTAAACGGAAAATTATGATAAAATAAACATTTAAAGACACCCTTTATTTTTAAAAAAAAAAATGCATTTGATAAAACCTTAAAATTCATTAATATAATTCAGAAAAAAGATAAACCTATAAAAAATTTAAACACTTGCAAATAATCTTAACAAAATAAATATTTGTAATAGTAATTAGAATTAAATCTATAAACACTGATAATTTAATAAATGTGTAATTATATTATGTGTAATTAAACCCATATTCAAAACACTAAAATAGCTTAACACAACTAAATTTTTTTTTTTTAAAAATTACATATTTTAGGGGAGCTCTTTGGCAAAACTGAGATAGTGGAATAGGTTCCCAACTGTTAAATAAAGGAATTGTTAGAGTTAAAATGTTAAACAAATATTCTTTAAAAGTTGAAACAATTTAATCCGCTTGAATTGATTCAAATTAAATTCAATTTTTCAGAAAAGGATAGTAGTTAAATTAAATAAGATACTGCTTCATTTTTGGAGACTGTAAAAACCTAATAGAACCAATTAACCGGGATGCTCAGGACCATCGCTATCCCGGATGTCTGAAATTCCCGGTTTTCTGAATTGGCTATAAATGTCGTTTATCAGTACTGTTTTATCAAACCCAAATTATAATGAAAAAGAGTAATGTATTTTAAAATAAGAAAAGAAGTTCTCCTTAATTAAAAAAAAAACGAAGAAAGATAACATTTAAAAGAATAAAAACATCTACAAGTTTAAAACAAAAGCAAGTTTAAAAAATACAAAATTCACATATTTATTTTTTGAGATTTATTAAAATTACTAAATTAGCCTAATATAAAACAAAATCAATAATCATATTTCATACATAAATATAAGGAAAAAAGAAAATCATAAAGTACAAGGAAAATTTATTAATCAAATTAAATAAAAACACTTGATAAATACCAAACGAAAAGATAGTTAAAAAAGGCACTAACATAAATATTAAGACACAAGACACGGCAGGATATTATAAGATCAATTGAATTTAAAAAAAGCTAACTTCATCATAAAATTCGTGAATAAAAAGAACTAATTTATTGAGTACGAAATTTACTGTGAACAGTGGGAAAAAACTTAGTGGAATGAGAATTGATCACTTATAAAAAGAAAAAGCTGCATTCTGCTTCATAAAATAATTGTCTGCTTTTGGTAATAAATAACTGTATGTTTATATCAATAAAAAATCCTTTCGTTTAATTTTTTTCTTTATAAAAGTAGATGATTTTTAACGAAATCATATATGATTCCTTACCAAGAAAAACTTGCAGATGATACTGCACTACTAAAGAATCAGAATTTATTCACTTGAAAAATATTGTTTATTAATAAATTTCAAATATATAAATATAACAGACAATAATAAAAACGTTTTGTGCGTAATTGTAATAATGTATTGTGATGCCACAATTGGCATTACATATTTATTTCCTATCTTTTAAAATATCTTTCATTACTTAAGCTTTTTTTTATTAATAGAATTACATTTTAAAAAAAATCAAAGACTTAATCTTTTAAAACGAACATAAAATATTTATTCTTCTCTTTTAGATCAATGTAACGGATACTTTTTATTTCATTACTAATGCAGACTTGTTAATTCACTGTCGCCTCTAATCGAAAACAAAAATCTATTTATAACTTTTCATTCTAAATTTCTAACCGCTAAATGTTTCGGTTACGTGGTTGTGATAATTCTCATAAATTTGTTGGCAACTCGTGATCGCCAAGGTGTTCTTTTAAACCCAATATTGATATGCTGGTTGGCTTTGTTTTGGCTATAGTATATTTTGATAAATCGCCAATTTTGGATCTCCTACCCATACTTTCTATGTCTGTTAGGAATAATTATATTCACTTTTTAATTTCAAATTTGTGGAGACTGGGAGTGCCCTTGCTGGCCTCCCCAGTCTCTATATCACCAATTATGCTTAATAAAATCTAAATTTCACTAAACAATTGGTATATTCTTTCCTGGAGACTGTCAGTTCNTCTGGCTGTATGATCTCTCAATAAGAGGGTATTCTGATTTCATCTCTTTAAGGGATTTCTTTTGTTTGGATGAAGAAATGGCCATTCTCTATATCACCAATTATGCTTAATAAAATCTAAATTTCACTAAACAATTGGTATATTCTTTCCTGGAGACTCCCAGTTCCACTATACGAATATTGGCGGCTACTGACGGAGAACAAACCTCCGCCATATGTATTATCCGTGTATGTAAATTACATATACAACTGATTTATTAACGAACAATACATAAATAGTTCAAAAATAGAAAAACAAAAATTATTCAATACTTACTTGTGAAATTCTATGTGTTGTACAAGCAAACACTGAAGGTCTTGGTCGAACAGAATCATCACTTTCCATCATCTTGAAATCTTGATGGTAAAAATTCTTTCTAGTGAAGAGAAGACATCAAAAAGTTATGTCCAGTGTCTTGCAAGGAAAGTAAAGTGTCTTGGGTGATTTGGTGACAAATCTCAGATGCCAGATCACCCAGGTAACAAGAAAAAATTCCTTGATAACTAACTTTTTCAAAATATTATTTTTTTACTTATTTATGACAAAGGTTTTTTTTTTCTAAAAAGAGAAAAGATTTAGTTGCAAGGTTTAAGACTAGGTTTTGTCTGATTATTTTGGGCTTAATTGGGTGTCAATTTTTTTTTAGTTTATCTAACTTAATACATAGTTTATCTAACTTAAAGATATTGAAACAATTTTATTACCAAAATAACAATATACAGAATTTAAAGATATGTTAAAAGCAAAATTTATTTCAAAAAAAGTAAACAAGCCAATAAAATCATTATATGGCTTCATACCATTTTATTAGATAAAAGCTAGTCAAAAAGATTTTTCTCAATTTCAATGAATTAATTTTATATAAACTTTGTCATACAGTTATAGACAGGGTTGGGTTTTTGCCGTAAAAAACTGGTTTTTGACATGACAGTGGTAAAAACCGTGTTTTTACCGGTAAAAATCGTCAAAAACCTACTGTTTTCTTCAATTTATGGCATATAGCGGACAATATATTATTTTCACTTAATTGCCTTTATAAATGAATGTTGTAAACGATTGCGATTGATTTTGCAACTATATACACGTATTCTTATAGAAGGATATACATTCATATAGAAATATTGTAACATACTTATAAAAAATAGTGATACTTAACTTTTATCATTATAGCTTGATTTGCAAAGGATTCAAAATTTTGCACTTCGTAATTGTTAGAAATAAACAAACAAAAATACTTGGAACTATTAATAAATTCAAGAACTAAAAAAAGAATTTAAAATTTGGCATTTCTTAAATATCAGAAATAAGCTAAACAAAACTTTCAAAACTTGTAACTACTAACAAACTCTAAGTCAGGAATGACTTGACATTCTTCAGTAATGTAATATGCCAAACAAAATGATGCTTGGAAATGTTGAAAATTTTGTTTAGTATCCTAATATTTTACTTCAAATAGCATGATTTGAAATAATCATGTTGGGAAAATGCAAAAATCTGTTCTTAAATATCTTTTAACTTTTTTTCTAATTTTATTGCCCAAAAATGAATTAATTTTAAATCATAAGCAGTTAAACTCAAATTAAAATACAGTTTTACCAAAACTATGGGTTTTTGACATGACGGTAAAAACCATGGTATAAACTGGTAAAAACCGTCACATGTGTCAAAAACTTGCCAACCCTGGTTATAGATATTTTAAAATATAGTGATTTCCATATCATGAACTGTCGCACCAACTACAATAGCCAAGGTGCTAAATAGATCTTAAATTTGCAAATTCGTATTAAAAATAACACATATATATGTTGGCCAGGGGGTGGCTACGAGTTATACCTTTCAAGTTGGTCCCTTTCTGTGACTTTTTTTTCAGTTTCTTGCGGGCCTCAGTCAATACTGAGCAATTATCCTGCCACAGATAGCGATATGGAAATATTCCCCCTCATTATAAACAGAAAGAATCTTTAGGGGAAAAAAAAAGTCAAAATTGATCAATTTTTTTTATCCATTTAATGTTTCCATTAAAGGTTATAATATTAATGTACCTACTTCGTCACTGTTCATTTTAAAGTTCGTCTCATAAAATTATAGGAATTACAAGGATTATAGGATTTACTTTCTAAAAATTTAAGCTGAATTTGATTTATCATTTGAACATTGTAACTCTTTTACCACACACACAAATTGAACTACAACACTGAATAATCAAGTATGCTTGTGAGAAGGAATTGTTTAATTTGGCAGCAAATGCAATAAGGGGATATTTCCGTATCCTGATCTGCCATGCCAACCTTAATCGCCAAGGTGCCAAATAGCTTTGCAACTTTTTTTAAAAAAAGGTATGTAGATGTTTGCCCAGGGGTGGCTACAAGTTATACCTTTCGAGTTGGTCCTTTTCTGTGATGTTTTTCTTTAAGTTTCTAGTCGGTCACTGGTCTAAAGTTTCCAGTTGCCAAGACATTCTGCCACAGATCAAGATACGGAAATCTCCCCAGTAATAAAATCACTATAATTTCTATTAATTTTTCCTGGCTCATAAAATTTAATAACTTTTGCTAGATTCAGTGTCTTACTAATCAAGGGGTATCTAACTGTTCGTATCGGTATCTAATCTAATCCGTATCGGTATCTAACTGTGCCAGCGACAAGTGCCAAAGGGCTTTTATACTAGCAAAAGTTAAATATATATACATAGATATATATAAATATATATACATAGATATATATATATATACATTTATTTATAATGTGGTGGTTATAAGGAGACCTTCCAGTTGGTTCACCCTTGTCATATTTTTTCAGTTCCTCGCGAGTAATCGGCAAATCACCAGTTCAAAATAAAGTAGATTTTTCAATAAGAATTTAAAATATTTCAAGTGTGTCTTAATATATTTTATGTAAAATTATGTAGACGCCCATAAACTTTAAATTAAAGACTATATACATACAAAAATATACCTTACTTATCTAAAATATGAAACTAACGTAATCATTAAGTGAAAATTTATTCAGTGTAACTTGATTAGGTAGGCATATATTACTGGTATAAAGATACGTAAAATAATGAAATTCATATGAAATGTTAAAATAATTACATACCAATTATATGTCAATGTTTACAGAGAGGTGCACATTATCCTAGAGTCTTATTTAAATAATCCTAAAATCATATTTACGAAGATGACACACAAGATGACTCGGTGCTCTTACGAGTCGCTTCTAAGTAGGGTATGGAGAACCTTCCAGTATTTAACCGCATTAAACTGAACGACGGGCAAAATTTGTATGAATTTTAAATCTGTATGTTTCAGACCCGAATAAGTGAACTGAAACTAAAGAAACGGAATGGAATCATTTTAAAAAGTTTATTCAGGTGAACATTTCGAACTTACAATTAGCCAGCTCCGAGTTAAGATAGATTTTAGATGTTCTCTTCCTGCCAACTGATGTTGAAAAAATTTACATATGTAAAAAGAATTATTATCACCTTAGACAATTAAAGTTTTAATACTGCCAAATAATATATTTACTGTCAATTTTTCATTTGCTCATCTTTATTTGATTATATTAAAAATTAATATCCATTGATTAAATTTTATGTTAACCGTAACTTATTTTCTAGTTTTAATTTGTTTGTAAACAATGTGGTTAGATTTTAGAGAATAGAGAAAGCAGGTCAATTTGATATTAATAAAATATGGGAATTAATTAAAAATTTAAACTACGTAGTTAAATCAATTTGTTTCAGTAATTTTCTTGAAAAATAAACTAGAACTTCTGTTTGCGTATTTTGAATTTTGGCATGCAATAATATGAATTAAATATAAAAATTCTGTTTGAATCATTATTGCTTTTAAATATGGTCCGTTACCTCATCCGTGTGGGATATATTGGAACTAAATATAAGTAAGAAATTTTTTTCATTTTATATTATTAAATTCACTTTAAAATATAAACAGGATTCAAATTCAAAAGCTCAGTTACGTTAAAGATAGATTGCTAGTACCGTTGAGCTCATAAAATTACATTTTTCTTTAATGTAATTTTCGCCTATTTAATAATAATGTTCCTTCTAATGTTTTTAAGATTTTTAGAGACTGTAATTTACGAAGGATACCACTTTGAAGGTCTAATATAATCCCCATTGCAAAATGTTTGACAATGTCTGTTTAGAAGCATACAAATGAGTGAAGATATTCTACAGATCATACGCGTATTTTGTTTTCGAGCAAGCTTACATAACTGTGCTAAAAATTTATATAACTGTGCTTAATAAAAAGCATGTCAATGGCAATGTCATACTGTTGCTAAAATAATGCATATTAGGCATATATGTATACTCTTGACACACCTTTTTCTAGAGAATGCAAATCTGCGATAAAAATATGAAGATTCCAAATATATTAGGGGAATTTTTCAAGATATTCGGTTGTTTTAATATTTTATGAACACCTTTTATCTTAGCTCTTTTATAAACAATTGATGAAATTGTTTTGATCAAACAATTATTGATAAAGTTTTAATTAATATGTAAGGGTGCACAACCTTTTACAGTGAGGGGCCTCTCATACAGCAGATTATTAAGGAAAAGCTGTGCAAATATGATAGTTTCTATGTAACGTTGATGCAAATATGATAGTTTTTATGTAAACGTTAGTGTTCTAAGCAATAAATTTTTATATCAAAAAAATTTGCTTTAATTTTGCATTAGATTAAATACTTATAATTATTATAATTCACTCGAAATGAAAAAAAAAGTTATTCTTTTTCTGAAAATTTTTATACATAAATTCTGACAAAAAAAATAATAACTAATGCTCACTGTATGAAAGTATGAAAATATTTATTTTAATTAAAGGAAATTTGTGGAGTGTAAATAAAAACCAAAATTAAAACAAAGCCATTATAGTATACAATATAAAATTCAATATTTTTTTGGTATTATACTTCAAATATCATTTCTATTTCTTAAGTTATTAAAAGTTTTTATGAATTTTAAATTAGAAACGCTTTCTCTTTCGTTCCCCCCCCCCCAAAAAAAATAATTACCTAACCTTCAAAAAATTTTTTACAAAAATTGCTAGCTGCGAGCAGTTTAAAAATCTGCATTTTCCTCCAATTTTCAAATTGCAATAACATTGCATTAAAATATTGGGATTCTAAACACTACATCAGAAGTCTGTTTAGAAGAAATTTGGGTCCGTTGACGGACCCTTCACAAAATATCTTTTCATAAAAACGGACCTTTACAAAATATTTTAACTTAAAAACGGACCCTTCACAAAATGATTTTTCTGTTGTTGTTGCTAATTCCCATCTGGTCTGACGGGGTCAGACCAGATCAATGAATCCGTTGATATTCAGAAAATCCGAAACCAGAATGGGAGAGGAATGAATGTCATTCCAGTCCAGCCCTAAACAGTTCAAGATGTGCTCAGGTGATGCCTGGTTTTGTTGGCATTTAGGGCAAAGAGGAAAGACTTTTTGATTTGCAGAAAATGTGAGACATTTCAGGTGTCCACTGGCCAGTCGGGATAAGCAGGTGTTGGTTCGCCTGTCACCAGGGAGAGATAAAGAGAGTCCTGGTCTTTTTGCTTTATACCAGTAGTGAATAGGTGGAAGCAGCCACTTTTGTTTGTTCTGGGCCTTTTGCCTTGCAAACAGTTCAAGGTATGTAAGCTCTGAGGTGGAGGGGACTGGATGGTCTAGTCCCTTCTTTGCAAGAGTGTCAGCCAACTCGTTGCCGTGGATATCGACGTGGGACGGATTTTTCTTTTAATCGGAACCTTCACAAATTTTTTTATCTTCAATATTGTTTTGTTAATCGAATAAACCCTTCCCAGGGTAGTAAACAAGAAAGATGGATGTAAAGGAATTAAGTTTTGTCTTCAGCAGACGCTTCTTCCTTTATTCGTCCGAAATGAATATTCTGCGTTCAGCAGTATAAGCTAAATACCAAATATTTGTATGTTGCATCTCTAATTTAGAAGCAACAATTGCTGTTTATTTCTGAAAAATTATTTTTTTTTAAATTATAATTTTACAGTGCTGAGCATAATCTTGTATCTATTTACAATTTAAAAACTCCTTTAAAAAGTTTTTTGCAATAATCGGACCCTATTTGCACAAATTCATAAAAGCGGACCCTGGTTGAAAGAATGTGAGTAAATTTTTTGACAATTTCACGAAAACTGGACCTTTCACAAAATGTCTGGACAGACCCCTGTACATACAAATGCATGGCGCGAACTGCTGATAAAATGACAAGAAAATTACTTATATTTACTAAGAAATACTATCAAAAAGGAATATTTTAAATGCCTTCTTAGAAATTTGTGAACATCATAACGGTATCATCAAAATCATGTTGAAAAGCATCAAAATAATTGCGAAAAAATTTCTTAAATTTATGATAAAATCAGCATAATAAGTAAAGTGCACCCAATAAGTAGTTATTTAAATGGGTGATTTAAAAGTTCCCATGTTGTTATAAAAATCAGAATTTTTTTAAACTATGTTTAAATACATCACAGAAAATGCTAAAAAGAAATAAGTTGGATTTAAGCAACAGCATAAGATGAAATCAGCAACAGCAATAGATGAAATAAGATGAAATCAGCAACAGCAAAAAAAAGTGTGTCAAAAAGTTATTACATAAATGAGTGATTAGAAACTCTTGTCTCATAATAATATCGTAGTCAAAATACTAGATTTTCAAAATCAAGTAGAAAAGCGAAGCAATAAATTGTGGCCCGTGGACCCCAAGTTGTGCACCTCTAATGAAATGATATTTTATTTTGATTTGTGCACACCTAATGTAATGATATCACTTAATACCATTATTTTGGTTTTTTCTAAGTGTGTCATTTTATTTTGATTTATTTATTTTTTAGGGGTATTCAAAAACAAGCTGTTAATCAAAATGATACAATCCAAGATGTTGTAGAGGTACTTTTTATTAGTATTTTTGTGCTAAGTTTCAAAATTTTTAAAAATCTTTCTTGATGACTATTTTGTTTTTCATTTAATCTGATTGTGTTGCTTTCCATTTTACTTATGAATTTGTAAATTTCATTTTAATGGGCATTTTGTTTTTATAAAGATTTAATATTTATTGGTTGGCTGTTGTTTTCATGGACAGTCTACTAGATGGTGCTGTGGGCGGGGATATATATATATTTCTCATAATACAGTGGAGTTGATTTCCTACAACATAAGTATTCTTCATATTGAATATTTTTGAACAAGAATAGCACAATTTTAGCAATCGCATTTTTTTATTACCCATTTGATATTAAAGTTTGGTTGATTTTTTTTCATTCATTGGATAGTAATTATAAAACTAACTTAAATTCTCACAACTTAAGCGCTTAAAACTTGTTTTGATGTAGGAAATAATGCTTTTTTAGTAATTAATATACAGTTTTTATAGTTATGAGTTCTTATTAAATATTCATAACTATTATGTTATAATTTTTCTTCAGATTTATAAAATGAAAAACTATCTAAGAACACAAAATCTCAATTAAAAAACTTTCTGTGAGCACTAAGCACTTGTAACTAGTCTGAACTCTTTAGTCACCATCCAATTTTGGCAAAATTTGCTTGAAAATCTTTTTAAAAAATGTTTTGTTCTCTCTATATTTTTATTATACATACCAACATGCCTGAAAATAAAATGTAATAACATAATCACAGAAAAAGTTCAGCTATGCAGAGCAAAAAAAGGAATTCTCATATAAATCTTCCAGATAGACCTGTAAGCTATTAGATTCTTACGTATGAAATGCCAAATTTTTTAATGAAAATTTCAATAAGCATAACTTTTTTTTAAAACAAAACTATTTTATTAATCTAAGTAAAAACCATCACAACCGATAAAATTTTTCTCAACATGTTGCAGGTTTTAGGATACCGCTTTCATAAAATTTGGCTTTCTGGTGTCAAAATTAGATTGATAGTCATTTTTGATCTGCTCTAGATTAGTGAACATGTGGAAAGAAAGTTGAAAGTTGTCCAAATGTTCAAAAAAGTGATAATCAGCTGGGGATATGTCCGATGGATATCATGAACCTCATATTTTAATTCAGCCAACTTGTTTACGATGATCAAGGAAACTTGTGGTTGTCTGTCATTAGGAAGAAAAATGGGTCCTTTTTGGTTGACCTGTGCCATCTTCATTTGCCATAATTTTTGAAGCACAACTTCAATTTCTGTAAGGTACTTCTGTGCTGTGATTGTTTTGCCATCATTTGAAAATGTATAATGAATTATTCTGACCATAGACCACCAAATAGTAATCTTTACCTTTTTAGGAGTGATTTTGGTGTTGTTTTATGACTTTCATCTGCATCTAACCGTTGCACTGAACGACACCTGTTGTCATAAAGATTCCATTTTTCATCATAGGTGAAAATTCTATTCAAAAATAGTTCTCTTTTATGTCTTAGAATCAAAGAACTGCTGATTTCAAAATGATGTATTATTTTTTTTTCCTTTTTGCTACATTTTTTGCAACATTTTTTTATCAACTTTTCAACTTTGTTAATGGTTGAGGAGTGGCATAATACTGTTGCTGTAATAACTCCTAATTCTTGTGCAATATCTTGAATAGTAATACGAGATTTAGATTCTATAAGCACTCTCAATGGAGTGTCATCAAATTTTGACTCTGATCTTCCACTTGGTTCAATATCCAGACTTTCATCCCCATCTTCAAGTTTTTTAAACCAATTTTGAATTGTTCATTCATTAAAAGTAGCTTTACCAAATGTAGCATAGGGTGGTCTGTTTTTTATTTTGCCCACTGTACACAAAATTATAAAATTTTATCTTTAATATACTTTTTAGCTTTTGAAATGAATAAAAACGAAATTTAAACATTTGTTTTCTAAACATTCCAAGTGTATAATTTAAGATTTTACTGAACATACAGAAATGCTTATTAAAATTAATTAATAATCATTATGAATGAACATATCTTGAACAAACAATATCTACAATATACACATTCCATTAATAACACATTTCCTTATGTATTTACTGTAAAATTTAGCCTGTCTTTTGTAAGTAACAAAATTTTTACGTATAAAATATTAGCAAACATTCACAAGTATTATATAAAATATATTCATGATTCATATTAAATTGTAAAATATGAACCTTATCACAATTATCATAGCAATTTCATTTAACTAAAAATTCCAAAATGTCAGGAATGTCTCTTTTTTTCTTCTTTTTATTGAAATATTTAAACATAATAGAAACTTTTTCCATTTTTCAGTCCCTAAGCAATTTCACAATTTAAACTGAACTAATCAAATATTAGAGAATCTATAATCTTTGTCTAACTGTATTGTGGTCGCTGACAAATTTGGATTTATGAAGATAGCACTGCAAATTTACACCATATATTCGTCTGCCATGTTTATAAATATTTAATATTTGTACTAATATTAACAGGGGTCTGTCTAGTTTTTTCAGAGAGGTACCTATTTTGTGAAAATTTAGACATAATTTGTGAAAATTAAATATTACATTAAAAAATCAACACAAAATTCAAGGAAAAAGTATTTTGTGAAACTACCATTTTTCCTTAAGTTGAATTTGTGAAGGTACCTCTAAATGGTAGTAAATTTGGCCTGGACAGACCCCTGATTAAGTTTTTATAAATAAATAGAAAATGCCATATAACTTCTTATATCAATTGATACTTTTTTTGTCTGTGTGGAGGAAAAAAATTGAATTTTATTTTTATTTTTCATAAACAATTAGATTAATTTAAACCAATTGTTACACAATTGCTCAAATGTTCTTTAGATTTATTTCGTCTTATTAAACAGGGGACATTATCTAATATCTAATTTTTAACCATCTGGTTAAAAATAATTTCAATTTAGACTAAAGTAGTTCTGTTCTGTCTTCTCTATAGTTTGAAGTTTAAATTGTTTGAAGCCATTTCCTAAGCATTCAGCTCATAAATATATACCGTAAAAAATATCAGAAACGTGCTAATCAATGATAAGCCTTATGATAATTGTTTCTTTTACCTCTAGAACATTGAATTTTATGCCTCAATTTAGTATCTAAAGTAATACTCCTATAATTTAAACCAAATTCAAGGTACAATATTGACATTTCTGGCTTTTTTGCACCAAAAACTACATATTAACTAATAATTAATTTAGTATGACATTCTATTAGCCCATATATTTTTTACTGTTGATTATCTATATTTAATTTATAGAACTACTTTTTTTGTTTTAGAGCGCATTGTTGACTTTGAAACCTAGAAATATTCCAAACACTCATTTTGCTAGCAGAACTGACAAAGGAGTGCATGCTCTAATGAATGCATTCCATGTTGACTTAGAACATAAAGTGCCTGGTGAAATTTATCAACCTCATCAAATAAGGATCAAAATGAATTCATATTTTACAGAAAATGATCATGAAATTGCGTGAGTAGTTTTTTTTACAGTAAAGTTATATGAAGTACTTTAACATTAATGAAAGTAATAATGGGTATTTGTGTTTAGTTACATTACTGATAAAATTGCTTTTATCATTTGGACTCCTTTGAATTTCTTGCAGTGAATTTGCTGTTAATGTTTTTAATTGTTATACTTTAATTTCATTTCTTCTTTAAAATAGTAAATAATAGTATTGCTGGAATATTTAAATTAAAATTTGAAATATTTTTTAACTTGATGGTTTACTAATGGAAAATTATCCTCTCATTAAATTATTGTAATACTTGTTGTTTTAGTCATACTTTTCTGTAAATGATAACCTCTATACTGTTTGTAACTAATTCTTTGCTGCTCTATTTCATTTTTATCAATATAAAAGATAAATTGTATATGTCATTAAATGCATCTCACCCATAGTAATATGTCTTTTTAAATATTCAATTAAGTTAAATAACTAAAATATTAAATAAAAATTTTATAATATATTTTTCATAATTTTCTAGTACATTTATTCATGTAATTTTTTAATTAAGTAATGTAATTATTTAATTAAAAATACCATTGACACTGTATTAAGTCAAAAGCTTTCTGCAGATACAGATACTGGATTATAAACTACTGTGCAACAAAGTGTAATAGTGTTGATACGCTAAATTTCAGGACAATAATATTTTTGCACAAAACACTGTTAATTACATTAACATAATTCCAAAAAGAACAAAAAATTTAGAAAAGTGTGAGAAATTTAAATTTAAAAAGTGAGTTGAAATAAAAGGAAATAGTTTCTTCAAAAATAATATTTATGTGTTTTTGAAATTTTTATTTTAAATGTTTTAAAATTTGTTTCTAAACTTTTACATACGTGTGCATTTACAGTTTACGAGTTTGACCATTAGTAATGTTATTTCAGTAATCAGCTCACGGTAAGAAAACAAGTTGGTCTTACATCTATTAAATAATTAAAGAGGTAAGAGAGTAGACAATAAAAGGTCAAAGTGTGAGGCTGGTTTTTCCTCTAATAGTATGAATAATATTTTGTTAATTTCAGCCGCTAAGGGCCATTGATTATGTTTTCAGATCTTTATAACTGTTTAAATGTTTTTGCTGCTGTTATTGTCAATTGGATTTATTTTTAAACAAGTAGCGCTCTTCTCAGATTTATAATTTTGATGAAATAGAGCAAGAATGAGGTTTAATACATTCCTTTCTAGTACTTAAAGGGACAAAAATTTTATATTTTGTAAACTTTTGTGCATGGAAAGATTTTTTGATATTTAAAATTACATTTTTAAATCTTGAAATAATTATAAATAATATAAAAAATTTACAGTTTATTTTTTCATGATAAATTGCAATAATATTAAATATGCTTAATTCAATTTATTGTTATAGTATAAAAACATACATAAAGTTTGATTATGCACGCAAAAAATTAAATTTCATGCCTTCTATTATTATAAGAAACTACTTTATCAGTGAGAAGAAAATCTTATAAGATTTAGATAAGATGTGTTTAATTTAATCTTATGAATGCTTTATTGATCAAGTTTAATCAGAAAAAAGGGATTAAAATATTCAACTAGTGTATTTGAAACTGAAGCTATAAGGGACTTGTTTTGATTATTTTATTCCTTCCTTTTCTCTAAGCAAATCTGATAACGATTTGTTTAAGTTCGATATAATTTTTTTTCTTTTTTAAATATTGGTTTGAGACCATTAATATGCATAGTATTTTTTTTCACGTACATTTTTTTATGATATTAAAAATTTTTACTACTATTGTCATTATTGAGCACCCTGTATATTATTGGGGTGATTGTGAGCCCAAGTCAAAATTCCAGAAAATTTCCTGAGTTAAAAAAAAAAAAAAAAAAATTTTGAATTGAAAAATTAGAAAAAAATTTAAACAAGTTTTTTTTCTTCCTTTTTCTCAATATTTCTTGGTTTATTTAAAATATATTTAAATTTTTTCACATTCCTATATCATTTACACATACCTATGATGACCTGGAGAAGTAATTAAAATTTACGAATATCTCTTTCTTTTTTGAGTTTATGATTATAACAACTATTTACTGATAAAAAATGAATATTAATTATGAATATAAGCTTATAAAGTATTTCTCTGGCTCTCCCTTACAAACAAATAAAATAAACTGTGTTTTTAAGTTCCACCTTTAAAAATTTGATTTCCGGATACTTCTGTGATAAATGATTTTTTTAAACGTCTGGACCTTCGATCTCCGGAAACTTCCGGATCACTGTTAATGAAAAATCTGGAAATCCGGATTTTTTACGGAGCACAATCAGCCCTGATATTAGGCTGCTAAATTAACTAAATAATTTTGCTATTGAATTGAATACATGAAACTTTTTATTATTCACATTAATTTACTACCTTTTACTCATAAGTTCATTATAAATTTTCTGATTAATTATTTAAATAAATAATACTATGTTTTAATTGTTTGATTTATTTACAAAGTTTAAATAAAAGAATTTTTTTTTCTTTTTAGTGTCACTAACTCTAGTATTGTGCCAGAAACATTTCATTGTAGATATCATGCAAAATGGAGAAGTTATTATTATCGTCTTGCTATTTTGAAGCACGGACTTAAAATACCAATAAATTCTCTTTCTCATCAAGGTTATTTACCTACAGCTGAAATAAATCGATGCCATTTAGTTTCGTAAGTTATTTATTCTGTTTTCTTATAATTTTCTGCATTATTGAATTATCTTTAATGTAATTAAAAAAAGCTGAAAACTGTGTTGAAATTTAAAGTTAAATAATTTTGCGATTAGTGCTTTTTTTTTGTTTTAATTTTCGCCACATTGAAAATTTTTAAATATGCTTTTTAATAGTATGCATAAAAAAATTATCAAAAATAATTTGCCTTATGAATATTAATAAAGAAAGTTTTGTGACATTTTTTATGCATTCAGTAGTTTCAAAAACTAATATGCTTACTATACTATAGATATCTATATAGATTCAAAGACAACAATAAGCTTATTAAGCATTTTTTCCTTGAATATTTTAAGTACTTCTTTTTACGTGAAGTCTTAAACTCTCTTGAGACGTTTACTTTAAATATACCTTGTAATATGAATGTTCTTTCTTATTTAGTTAAAGTATTTTTTTAAAAATATATAAAATATTGTTTTGTTATTCAGTTTTTATGTGGGAAATACAATCTATGTCTCTCATGAGTATGACTGTCCCATTATAATTACCACTACACAAAGTCTCGTTTGCTGTTTCTTAAACGCAATGTTATTTGAACTATCGAACTGAACCAATACAACAACTAAAATTTTGTTGCCGTTTTTTTATTTCCCATAAAAATCACTCCAAAAGCAGGTTTTCGACATTCTTGTACTTTCAAAGTAAATATTTCTCCATTGACTACATGTTAATTTATAAGAAAAGTTTCGAAAAAGCAATTCAAACCATTCCTTTTGATGTTACCGCTCAATAATCTTGAATTCTCTATGAATGAAGAAAGACTGACAGGAACACTTATTCTTAACCTAGGAGCGCCCCCCAGCATAGTCTGTAGTTAAAAAGATTTTGATATATTAGCTTACTCTATAAGATTTTGATATATTAGCTTCTACTATAAGAATACTTACCATTATTAAGAATTTAAAGTGTATATTGCACCGTCAATTAGAAATTGTAGTTTCCTGCACTATCATAACCTTTCAAAATTTCATTTCTTTTCAAAGGGATCAATATATTCATCAATGATATTTTTCTTAAATACACAAGTGGGCGACCTTTGTGCTAAAATACGAACTAAGGTAGACAACGTTAAAGAGCACAAAAATATTATATTTTATACAATATTTTTGTGCTCTTATTTTTTTATTAAATATTTTTTCCCATATTAACGCACGATATTAAAAAAATTTTAAATATTGTGTGCTTGTCAATGCCTTTCACCTAATTAATGGGGTGTGAGATGCCTGTAAGCATGCAATTGTTTTTATCTTTCCTTATATACCTAACTTTTATCCTTATGAAAAGAACTATAAATACATAAATTGCAATTTATTAGTACTTTAATGACCATGATAAAAGTTTTAGTGACTTTGTCAAGTTTTATTTAAATTTGTTTAAATATTTTTGCCTTAATTACATCACATTACAGATTCTTTCTTTGTTTCATTTTTGCATTAAATTTTTAATGAAGTTATTTCATCCTACTTAGCTTTTTATATACTCTGAATGATTATAATCATTTAACACATTGTATTACTTTCCTTAATGATACATCCTTCAATTTTTGTTAATTATTTTCCTTTTATTTTTCAATTTAAAATATATATATTATGATTATGCACAATTCTTACAGCTCTACATTAAATACAAGTATCGTTAAAAATGTTACAGATCTTTTCTGTGGTGAACATGATTTTACAACTTTTACTAAGTACTTAGTTAGAGAGCCATGGAAAAATCCACGAAGGACAATTCATGAATGTCAGTTTTATCAAACAACTTATAATGGTTTCATAAAAGACCCTCTTTATGCTAATATATCCATGTGGGAATTTTACATTCAGTCAAAAGCATTTCTGTATCACCAAGTAAGTTACTTTAGCATTTAATTAATTTTCTAGAAGTTTACATATTTTTAATATTGTACTCATTTTTGAAATTTCAAATAACTATCATTAAAAATAAGTCATGTCTTCTTAATGTTTATATATATATATATAAAAACTTATAAAGGTTTCAGATAGAGTATATATGTCAATGTTAATTTATCATGTTTGAGTTAAAGAAGGTTCGACCTTTAATTGTATATAAATATCCATCTTTAGTGGGACGTAATCTGTCAGATTAAATCATTTCTGGTATACCATTTCTGCCATTTATTCTTCTGATGATGGCATATCAATGGGACACCGAAGCACTTATAGGTTTTAATAAAAATTTTACTATTCGTAATTTTTAAACGTTTCTGAAGAATTATCACTAAGAATTATTCTCATAATTTTATATGAAATTATAGTTATTTTTGTAAGAAAATCATGTTTGAGTTAGTCATTTAAGACATTGTTTTTTAATAAAGAAATAAGATTTGCATGTTAATAATAAGAAATTTAAAATGTAATAGTGAATGTACATGTTAATAGTAAGAATGAAAAATAAGATTGCATGTTGTATTTATGACTGCCCCAGATTTGAAACTGGTTAGAACAGCATTATATAATAGGATGTGGCCTTTGTCAGAAAAGTCAATGCTTCAAAATTCTGCCTTTAATAAAATAGAATATTGCTTTCATTAAAAAAAAATTTTGCTTTAATTTAATAGAATTTATATGTATATCTAACTGGTTATCTGACTCTCTAGGTTAGAAAACTGGTTGGAACAGCATTATCTGCCGGATTCGGTTATTTATCTTTATCGGATGTAAAATCAATGCTTGATAATCCAGATCCGGATAGATGGAAATTTTGTCGATTAGCCCCACCAGGAGGTTTATTTCTAGCTCACATAGAATATGACAAAAAAGGTAAAGTCTCACTATCATTATCAGTACTAAGCTGTAAAATCATGAAATATAGCGTGAAGTAATACACCAATTTCCGACAAAAAATTTAAACCATTAACTTGGATTTCTCAATCTTAAAAGTTCATCTTTTGAATATTACCATTTCGTTGTGATATTGTAATTGGCAGTTGATTTTGTCAACTCTTAAAATACAAATTTACATAATTGTATCAATTTTTCATATAGTCCTTTTATAGAAACAATTCATTAACATCCCATGTGGAAATTTGTCCTTCACAAACTGTTTATTTCTTATACTTTTCTATTTTTGAACCAATTTTCTTTCAAAAAAGTAGTATGTCATAGAAAATGCTGAAATATGTTCTATTTTATGAACTCTTCATACTTAGTCTTTATTTTATGAATAAATTATTTTTCACTCTGCAAATGTTTTCAAAGATGACTAGTTATAACTCAAAAAATTTAATGATATATCATTGGTGAATTCGTTATTGCATAACTACCAATTTTTACTTTTTCCTAAAATAAGTTTCCTTAACTTAAACACACAATCATATGAATACCATGCATTTATACAGGGTGTTCCAAAATTATCTTTACAACTTCAAAAATTCATAACTTCGAACATAAACAAGATATTTTTATTCTGTCTTTTGCATGTATTACTGCAACTAATAAAGTTTTTTTTCAATAGGCTGAAAAGTTTTAAGTGAGGATGTGGACACCACAACAGAAAGCTCAATGCGTCTCATGGCCGTATTCGCTCCACATTTTTTAGGTCATCAAA